ATGTACAGGGCTTAAAGTATTCTCTCATTTCGTATTACTAATGAAATAAATTTAAAGTTATAGGAGAATTCCTACTACTTTAAAGCTTTTTCTATTTATGGTTTATCTACTCTACTGAAAGACCTATAATTTTCATTATAAAAACAGTATATGTTTATGATATCTTTCAAAAGTAAAATCATAAGACAAGTATGAAATAGAAGGTATTAGTTTCTTTTCACAGCTACCTCCCTTTGCACTCAGAATTTCTGCTGTAACCTTCTAAAAACTGATAAAGTGTACCTCAGAGGATCATTACCTAGTATTTGACATAATTTATACACACACACCAAAGATTTAATTACTGACTTGACATATTGCTTTCCAACTCCATATTTGATCAATATTCCTTATCATGGACGCACAGTAAAACCTGTGTAGCTTTAAAAGAGGAAAATCAAAAGGAAAATCGTAATAGACTTAAAAGGCAACTAACCTTTTTCCACCTCATTCAGATTAGCAGCTGGCAGCGACAAAGACAGAAGAGACAAAAGACTTTTTACATTGCAATACAACAGTAGAGCCCACGAAGCCAACGTGCAGCATTAACAGAGAAGCCAGGGTGAGAACGTAAACTGCAATGAAGCTTAGAGTGCTTACCTACGTGAGCCACGGCACAGACACAGAGAGAATGAGGCCAGAGGTCAATGGCATCTGCAGGCAGCGCAAGGGCTCTGCCTCTGAACCAGGTGATACAATAACTAGAGACTTGCAGCTAGGAGTGTGCGAAGAACGGTTTGTGCGTGGGAGTCAGATTTGTAAAACTCAAACAGAAAGATAATGGTATAAAATGGAAAAGGTAAAGCATTCTGAACGTTTCCAGTGAAATGGATTACAAGACCATACATGTGAAATGGGCATCAAAACTTCCACTGCACTGAGTTTATTATCTAATCTCCTAGGCAAAAAGAAAGCTTAACTGTCATCAATTTTGTGTCATATTTGTGTGGGTCCCGTGTGGCTAGTTAAGATGCTCAGTCTTCAAAGAGTAGATTTGGGGTTCTATTGTGAGGAAACATGGTGACATACATTTCTCAGTCCAACACCTATTCTAATACTAGAGTCCAGCTGAACGTGTCATTTCCAATGCTGCAGTTTCCATCTTTCCAATTTTTCTTTGGAGCTTGTTTAAACAACAACATAAAAAATCCTTGAAAATTCACCAATGAGAAATGTTTTGCTCTTAAAAATGGCCATACTAATGATTTATTTTTTAAAATCTAGCCCCAGAACTTTTCAAACTAATGCTAAAAGTATAGAATTAAATTTTAAGTTATTTACATTTCAAAGTCCTACTTTTCTAATACTTGGTATAGTGATTTCAGTTTAGAACCACAGATTAAGTTTCAAAACTTAAACTTGACTATAGAAAAATACCGGCAATTAAGAAGCATGCGTTCAGCTGGCCTGCTAGCTCAGCAGACTGAAGCGCCTACTTAGGCAGAGGGCAGTGGCTGGGATTCGATCCCCGGCATGCCTTGCAGCCCCTGTGATGCACTGAGATGGTGATTGAGACTGGATGTGGTGGCCCCTGCGTGTAATCCCAGCACTTGGGAGGCTGAAAACAGGAGAATCACTACGAGTCCGATCTGCATAGTGAGACCCTGCAGGCCTTGTAGTCCCTGCCCTAAATACAGGAAAAAAAGAAAGAAAGAATTGTGCATTATACAACTGAACAGACAGTTCATGGGTTACAGTAGACAGAATAGCCTTGATGACCTGAGCAGAGAGGATTTGATGAAATTCTGGAGGCAGAGGAACAACACTACTCCCTACAATGTATGCTGCCAATCTCTCTCCCAAGAAAGAGCCAGAGTTTCCCCCTTTGAGGGGCCATTATCAATTTACTGAGGGTAGTTTGGTCCCTCAGGGTTTAAGGAATCTGGTGGCTCTTTTGCAATGTTAACAGTTTTAGCTCCATTTATAGCCAGCTCATCATGTAATGAGTCCTCTGCCAGACTTCTGTCAAATCTGTGAATTTTCTTCACTGACAATATTCTGTCCATTTTGGCCGTGCTGTAGAAGGTACATGCAAACAAAGCCGCCATCATGACTCTCAGGCTTTCTCTATGAGGGCTTATTTATTCCTACAAAGCACACAACTTTCTTATTATTTGCCTTCAGGGTATAGAGGTTAAAACCTTCCAGAAAAAGCATTTGCCAGTTGAATGAGTTTTAAACAATGACAATGTTATTACATTCACTGAACACAGAAGGGTTTCTTTTCACAGATCTTATGGTTATTAATTAGACAGCAAACTTGAATTTAAAATAATAGAGTCAAATTATAGGAAAAGTCTCCTGAATTGCAGACTTGGATGACACAGGGTAGAAACTCTACAGGATGATTTCTCCCTTTCTTCCTCTAAATAAAGGTCACTCATATGCTTCAGGTTTCAAGATGTGCACATGGTTCTTTGATATTGTACAAATATACTACTTTCACATTTACAAAAGCACTAGAGTTAAAAGATGAGCCATGAAATTTGCCTCTTAGGTATCATATTTACTGTCAAAATATCAAATTCTTCATGGACCACAAATTTCAGTCTAGGGTTATCATGGTAATATCGTCACATACTGTATGCCATGTACTTTCTCTTGAGTTCAGTATTTTTCTTGATTCTCTGCCTGGAGGAAGGTAATCCAATATTTGTAATAGCTGTAAATAAAACAAAGACTAAAAGAGTCTCCATTTTTGTCCAGAGTCAAGTGACTCTTGACAGACCATCATGGTAGGTTTTTGCTTGAAGACTTTTATAAATGGCAGAGTTTGTCTAAGAAGTGATTTCTCTAGACTTGAGTTTGTCGTGCTACTTCAAAGGACTAAATCTGACATAGAAAGAGGAGTGAGGCTTCATCATAGTTTTCAGAGAAAACTTAGGTTTCCTGAGTTGGGTCACTTAGGATAACAGGAAATATGTTTAATGTGAGCTGATGTAGGACAGGAGCTTGGGAAATGAAGTTAGGCAGGTAAGACAAACACTTAAGAAGGAGAGAGAGTAAGAGAGGGAGGTGGGAGGGGGGAGAGAGAGAGAGAGAGAGAGAGAGAGAGAGAGAGAGAGAGAGAGAGAGAGAGAGAAAGAGACAGAGACAGAGAGAGACAGAGAGAGAGAAATGAGGAATAGCAAATCAAAAGCCAAAACATTGGGCCCCTCCAAACCAACTCAGAAGTATCTACCACCATTGTGAATTATCACTAAAAATATATACATGATCCTGAACACAGCTGTATTTCTTAGCCCAGGTTTCATAAGGAAGGAGCCAATAATATCCTGGTTTCTATATTCAGAAATGCACAGAGAATGAGAATATTCTTTGAATGCTTGGATAATATTTGTTTGGTAAAGCCAAAGCAAGTTGGTTTGTAGAGGCCTGCAAAATTTAGTGGGTTCTTAAGCTTTTCTCTAATGATCAGAACAGTGATGGAGAAAGAGAACCATTTGTTCCTAAGAGAGTACTAAGGAAAAGATTTTAACGCAAACATAGGGCTTCTTATTTACAACAAAAGGAGTCCATCCAATAGAGTAGTACCTACATACCTTCAAAAAGTTATGGTAATTTTAGGGGCTCTAAAATCTATGGCCATAGGTCATTATCCAATATTGGAGATCTTACACAAGTGATACTGATTCTAGAAGGTCAGAACTATGTAGCACCTATATTCTTTTTAGCTCTGCCAGCATAGGTTTCTATTAGATATAATCGTTATGGTTTGTTAATGAAAGGATCAAAAAGTGCCCACTAACCATGGTAAGCACTTTGTACATGTAATATAATAATTGGTGATACAGCCTGATCTAATTTCTTCTGGAAATTCAGTGTAAGGAAACTATAAATTATCAGGTGTTTTACTGATGTTAAGAAGCTTACCTTAGAGAAGGAAGCTACAGAGACACTCAGATCTCAGTTATTACATTTGGACCTTATTGTTCTACTAGAATTTCTCATCATGAAAGTACTTTGCCATCAAGAAAAGAATGCAAACTTTGGGCATTCCAAAAATGTTGAATTTCCTATAAATACCTGGAAAATTTAAACATACAACATGTGTGTACTTCATATTCCCAATTGCTAAGCTTAGCCACGTACAACCAGTAGGTATTTCAACCTATGATATTCCTAACTGTGTATTGGAAATATGAAAATAAATATAATTAATAGAAACACCCAGCAAAAGTGAAATAATAGCTTTAAAGTGTGCGGAACTTCTCTTTTTTCTTACAAATAAAATATGCATCATTCTCTTTTCCTCTATCAGCTAAGGATTTGTTGAGAATAAAGATAACTGTGATGTTCCTTATTCATATCCACATTAATAATCAAACAAATATTCTGTCAAAATAGACAAATGGTAAAATTGATGTCAAGCTTCCAACAGATATGCTTGAATTAGAAAGAATTTCAGCACTTTGGATTGGCTTAGGTAATTCATCACCCAATGAAACACATGTCCACAAAAATTGTGAACTTATAAGACTATTTAAAGTGTTCTATAGCTTCCATATTGTTTCATTTAGATGGACAGAATTATTATAAATGAACAAACTATATGAATGAATAAATGAGTAGAGACATAAATTATCTTTAATGCGCAATTATGTTTTGACTATGTAAAGAAATACCTGATTTTAAATTATGGGTGGATGAGCTGGTTAGCAAAGGGAAAACTGCATGAAAATGCCAGTGAAATAAGGGAAAAGCCCTTTAGCCTGACAGCTGCTATACTGGTTAACACTTCTTTCTGGTGGATGCATGTATTGGTCTGAGATAACTGCTTTTTACTTTGGTTGGCTGAAGCCATCTTTAGGTGCTTTTGTTATTTATGCTTATATCTAATTTTTGAAACACCTACCAGTTACTGAATAATAGAAGCAATGTAGTAAACAAACAAAACAGTGCCCTAAATGTGTCCAAACAGATACACTAGTGGATGACATAATATTTCCTATTCTTCATACCTGTGTACTCTGGTGGGCAAAGGCACGTGTAGTTGTTAATTCCATCAACACATGTGGAGTTATTTTCACAGTCATTATCTTCACAGTCATCAACATTGACCTCACAGTTTTCTCCTTCAAATCCATCAGCACAAATACACCTGAAAGCCAAAGGGAGAAAGGCAAAAACAAAACAAAACAAAACGGAAACCATCTTTTTGCTGCATTTTAAAGGCATGCTGTCAAAATCCTGAAGAAAAAAAATGCATGAACACATTCAACCAGTATAGAGCCTTTAATTACAAGAAACTGGTTTTTAAAATGCTTTGAACTGACATGCTGCAAGTTCAATTTAAGGTAATTTCCAAGAAACAAGAAAACATTAAAGAGTAGAATGTACGCAGCTACAAGATGGCAAATGGCCCCATAGTCTTTAAAGTCAATAAACCCCATACATAAACTCAGCAAAGATCTCCACTGCTCTCATACTCTAAACCTAAATTGGGCTCTAGTGAAAAAATGTATGCTTCTCTTCAGAAGGAACTGATTCTGATTTTAAGATTTTATTTTATTTATTTATTTTTTTTGTATCAGGGATCGGACTTGGGACCTTGCACTTACAGACAGGCGTGTACGCTCCCATGCTATGTCACTGGCCCCTGAGTCTTATTTTTAAAAGTTGTATTATTTGCTGCTTTGTGTAAGCCCTTGGTGTTTTTTTAGTAGAAAGAAATTTGAAAACTAAATTATGTCTTCCTTATAATGTCCAAATGTGAATGTTTTATTTAATTCTCAGTAAAGACAACTTTCACCCTTGCATGAAGAGCCGTATATTTAATCTTGAACAAATACCAGAGTAATCTGTGAGTAAAGTCTAAATGAACAAAAGAGAATGCTGTAACAGAAGTGAAATATACTTCTCAGTTGTGATGTTTCTTACAAACTTTCATAGTAGATTAACATTCTAATGGGAAATTATTAGTGTCAATAAAATCTTTCATAATTCATTAAGTGCCCCTGAAGTAACTGCACTGTGTGATTGAATACTTCCAGATTAGAAATACTCACAGAATGTTTGTGTACTTATATTGTGAGTTGGGAGTGAGTCATTAAATTAGTTTCATTGGGACCCATATATTTGTCATTACAACCTGTCTTAAAGCAATCAGCAAATCTACTTAAACATAGGACTTTCCATAGGTTACTATTTGGCCATTAATTAGTATAATTGAAGCAACACACTGTCTTGCCCAATTTTGACTTGATTGGTTGTAATGCTTTGTGCACTAGCTCTTAAATTTTTGACTGTGGAGCATCTGGAGCTGGGAATCCTGTAGCATCTCCATCGGTTTTTAATATAGTCTCAGAGTGGTACCAATATATTTTGTCTTTATTCTAATGTTCCTTTTAAAATAATAACAAGGGGGCTGGAGAGATGGCTCAGTGGTCTAAAGCACCTACTTAGAACAAGCTTGGCAAGGCATCAGGGACCGCGGTTCAATCCCCCAGCACCACATGCCAGCCGGCCCCGCCCCCTGGTGGGCTGAGCTGGCCACACACACACCACACACAATCTCTCTCTCTCTCTCTCTCTCTCTCTCTCTCTCTCTCTCTCTCTCAAATAATAAATAAATAAAAAAAATAATAACAAGGGACTTAAAAAGAAAAACGTAGGTTTGTTTGGTTGTTTTAGCTGTGACACTTCAGACACAGATCTGAAAGCCTAGTGACCTACCAGAATCCATCCCTTTCTCCTTCCTTTAAGTGGCAGGTTCCTCCGTGTTTACATGGGTTACCGATGCACGCATGGATTGGGGTATCGCAGTCTTGCCCCTGGAGAAAGAGTCACCAAGTAGAGCTCAGTGCAGTGTAGTCCGAAGCTCCAAAGAAAGTGCAGTTGGATGACAAACGCATGGGAAAGAAAGCAGTGTTTTCAGGCCACGGCTCCCACATGGCCGTCACTCACCTTGAAGCCGTAGGGACAGGTGCACCGGTAAAAGTCAACTGGATCATTGTTACAGGTGCCATCATTTTTACATGGATTTGATAAGCAGGGATTGCATTTAGCCAGAATATTGACATCCACAGGACCTAAAAATTATTTGAAATATATAAAATTGGATGTTTTCTATTTGTAGTTTATCTGTTCTTTAACATCACAGTGAATTTTGTAATAAATTATTGGTCACATGACTGTATATGATTTTTTCTATATATGTTTCTTTTTCATGATGAAAGTCAGCAACATCATAGCATGTTCAAGATTGCAACAAGGAGTCCTTATCATTGGGGGGAACCGTGAAGCTTTCTGAACAAGAGGGGCCTCTGTGATGGTAGCTGATGTCATTAACAGCCAATGTTACCATGATACCCATGACCCAGGGTGAATCCATGTAGAGAATGAATCATTTCTGTAGATGCATTCCATGGCCACTACCTACACCTCAACCTGAGCCATCTCCATGGAAATGCATGCCACCGGTTTCAGAGAAAACTATGTGCATGGCGTTGAGTGTGGCTTTTGTAAACAGAAATCTATGACTGCAATTAAAAACAGCATAGGGCACACTTGCCCTGATAACATTATCTCAGTGTTGTCACTTTCACACAGGAGGTACAAAGCAATGCTTTGAATTCTTATTGTGGGGATAGAATCCAGGGTCTGCGTGTGCTAACTGTGCGTTCCAACTCTCAGTTATACCCAGTCCCAGCACTACTTTTTTTGATAGAGATGTTATAAGTGTAGGCTCTGTTATATTTTCCATCCCACCATTTGATTCAGTTACTACTTGAGTGACACAGTATATGAGGATCCCATATCTTATTCTCCAAGAATAGAATTCCATTGAAATGACCTCTATTTGTGGTCTCACATGATCCTGTCTTCAATGAAAGTTCACCTCCATCAATCTCCCATAAGTCCCATTTATATATTGATAAATGACTAGCAAGGTGTGTACAGAAATGCTCTTGGCAGCACTATGCTTCACTGATGCAACTTTTTGGTGCAAGATCCCTAGCTTTCCTGTTGATACCCATGTCTGGTTATGACAATGGTAGACTAACATTATTTTTACATATCAAATACAAGTATTTTATAGCATAAATATTCATTATAGTATTCCTGTCACCAGTCTACCATAGCTCTTTATCTTTATGGGAACAATAAATGATACCGGGGATTCTACGTCTCGTTACACACTATTCCTCACAAAGTTACTTGGATAATTGCTACCAGAACAATTGCATAATATTCCTTTGGCCTCTATGATCACTGGTGTAATCTTCTAAGAAAATGTGTTAAACAATTGCATGACTTATGCTCATATAAACTATTTTTCATAAACTGATTCTATAAATTAGAATTTACATTTTTAAGTTATACAGCAGTAATTTACATGGTGTGCACAGGGACTGCACCTCTCCTCATAACCCTTACTTGGTAAAATACTAGGACTTTTTCCAATTGTAGTTTTACATTACAATTCATAAAAATTTCTTTATTATGTAGTTTCCCTACTTAGAAAACAAAGCACGGCTAAAAAGCCTGTTGAAATAAATCTGCATAGGATTTGTGCTTCTTTTCAGGCTTTGGCAATGGATCCCAGGTTGTGAGATGACTGTTGGAAGGGTTGGTGAGGTGACAGCACCCAGGGATCCCCTAGGGCACTAGAAGAGTAAAATACCAATGCTAGTGCCCCTCCCCGCAATGCTTCTTGGTAACAAACTAACTGCTACAATCTCTGAAAGAAAAAGCAGAATAGATTTTCTAGGATGAATTTTGAAGTGAATCTCATAGAAATTAAAAATCTCACATCCTCCATCTTACTCATCAAAGGCCAACATTCACCTATTCAGTATATGGGATAAATTAACAAGGTTGATTATCCAAAAAAGTTAATTAAATTAACACAATACCTCAATATGAATGGTTTTGCATTGGCTAAAATCATACTTAGATTCAGCACTAGGGAAAAAATATCCAATTTCACAGATCCTTTAGTTGAAGAAGAAAATACAAACATCCAATGTGGAACAAAGGTGTGGGCTATAGAACTAAGAATATCTACCATCAAAATACAGGTCTGCACAGCCAAGGATGCAAGCACTTGTCTGGCTCCTTCCTGAGGCCTTGAGAAAGCATGCCTTTAGTACTTCCATGTTTTCAAACACGTAAGAATCTGATTTGAATAGAAGAGTTCAGGGTTGACACTACTAAGTTCATTATGGAGCATGTGATATGTTTCAGCAGTTATGTTTCAGCCTTTAGGTGAGAGGCTAGAGATTATTTTTCAGTAAAAAACTGAGTATATATGAGGAATTTAACAGAGTATATAATTAATAAAACTGCTGGACTCTGGTAGATGGTGTCCCCTTTATCACACACTCAAGACTTATATAATAAATGTCCACTGAACTGTACTGGATTTATCAGCACTATCTAATCCACCAGACATATTTAACATCCTACACTGCTAATTTTGTTGAATTATTTTCATGTCTGTCTATCTATCTCTCTATCATCTATCTCTCTATCTATCTCTCTATCTATCTATCTATATCTATCTATCTATCCATCCATGTAATTTTAATGACTGTATAAAGGAAAATTGTAGTCAACCTGTGTATAGTCAGTTTGGCTAAAAGAATCAAGATAATAAGCACTCTCAATACAGTGGTGTCTGCTGACAATTTCTTCACCTCGCCATCCTTTTCATTGGCATTTGTTTCAGGTATGTGGCAAGACACTCAACTATAACATCTGTCCCCAAATCTGGTGATGGCTACCATCCTGCTATCCCTCCCTTTCCTTCTTCTTTTGAAATAATGGGGTTTGAATCCAGGACCTTCACACTGAGCTTAATTCACAGCCCCCCTTTTATTTTTATTTGGGCACAGAGTCATGTTTCATTGCTAAGAGGCCCAAGCTCAGCGGAAGGTTGTAAGCCTGCTGCTTCAGTTTCCCAAAGTTCTGGTGTTACAGGTGTGCACCACCTTGTGTGGCTTCTGCTTTTTATATCTTTCCTTGAAAGTTAGAATATCAAAGATAACTTCTTATTTCTACAACTTGCATTTGAATACATAAAGGGTAATGCAAAAAAATGGTTTCTGTTCATATGAATTTCAAACAAATATCCTGTGGTAGCTCCAAATGTCTTAAAATGATAAAATAAATCTTTTTCCTATTTAGACAATCACAAGTATTTAATATTATTATAACATTTTTACATTTAGCTTGTTTCTCTAAATCTATATCTGTATTAAAATCCATTGAGACTATGTCTCGTGTGTTTGGCTATCTCTTCTCATGCATCTTTCTACCTGTATTTTGCTGCTTTTTTATTTTCTATTTTGATTTGATTTTTTTTAAAGAAATGTATTTGGTTGTTTCGGGGTCTCACTACACAGTTTGGACATGTAGTGATCCTCCTGATTTTGGCTTCCCCAGCACTGGCTGGAATCACAGGCATGTACCATTACACTCAGACTACTCTGGCCAGCTCAGCCCACCCTGGGGGCAGGGCTGGCAAAATATGTGGTTCTGGCCATCAAATCGAAGTCCCTGCACTTGCCTAAACTTGTCTAAGCAGACACTTTTGTCTGCTGAGCTATCCTGCTGGCCCCTCTATTTTGACTTGAATTTCAGTTTGTGATCTATTTTCTCATACGTCTTGCTCTAAAATCTTCAGATTCAAGGAGAATACTTTTAATTTGTTTGTATAATAAGATGGAATCACAAGTTAAGGATCATTTTTCATAAAGCCATCATGAAATGGGTGAAGCATCAGCATAGCTCTCGAGGAACAAACTCATACTTGTAGAACTTTGTGCACTCGGTTAGTCCAAGATTTTGACAAATGTCCAGGAATAAGAATCACACAGGTGTTTGACCATAGCACACAGTAATCTTGGGCTCTGAACCTGCATACCAGGAACTCACATTTGTAACTGTATTTGTCATATAAGTGTGATGCTAAGATAAGGGCAGTTATCTCATTGGGTGGTCTTAAGAGTTAGAGGAGATACTTATCAGTGACAAGTAGGGAAGCGGGTGGGATCAGGCACAGAAACATCATGAATTTTCTCCTCTCTCCCAGACCACAAAAGGTTGTTCTGGGTTAAAACGGAAGTGGAAGGAGGAAAGTCCTTTACTGACTTGTTAAAAATTTTAATACAGACAAGGACAAATTAGAGATTTCCATTTATATATACAACCAAAGTTCTCTGATCACCTTCTCTATGTGCTAGGAGATAATGAGATTTGGGGGACCTGTAGGGATGCTTTTGAAAACCATGAGGAACAGAAATGGGCATGAGAAGGTCCTTATCCATTGGGTCATATCACTGAGAGTTAGTAATTTATTTTTGTTATTAACACAACTCTGGGATGTAAGGGAGATCTGGCCACAACATCTGTCACCCCACTGATTGCCACGGTCGATTTGGCTGATCTGGCTGACTTGGTAGAGTCCTCTTCCTCCTTCAGTGCTCCAGGTGCGTCCTTGCTGAAGCAGCACGCTTGGTCAAAGAGGACCTCCCCCCCAATAGAGGAGGACCGTTCCTCGGTCAAGGGTATATATGTAGCTGCGTTCCCCTGTTAGAATCTCCAAACAAGCTCTCAAAAACACAGCTGTGATTTGGATACGGAGTGTGTACAGCCACCAGATACAACAAAGTAAGAAGGGAAGTTTTCATTGTCCTTGCATTGTTGCTTGAAGGTTAACTGCAATCATCAAGACTGCCTCATCCTAGGGCTGGCCAGATAGCTCAGCGGACTATGGCGAGGGCCTATAATCCCATTTGGGAGGCTGAACACAGGAGGATCACTACAAGTCCAAACTATGGAGTGAGACCCTGTAGACCCTGTACTAAAATACAAAACAAAACAACAACAAAAAAGACTTCCTCATTCTAAATGCTAACTGGTTACAAGAAATGCTAAAGTATCACCAACATATTAGCCCTTCTGAGATGAGTGCCACAAAGAAGAAAAGAAGTCTTACTTCAGACAGACAGACAGACAGTCAGACAGACATTTACTACTGCCACTGACATGAGGGAAGCAAGTCTTGGTTAACTGGATAAATTTA